GTTTGCTCACATCTTCATCTTAGCATCTAACCGAACCACCGACTCTGGGTGGTCACTGGTGTGAAGCCTTTTTAAGGTCTCGGAAGATTCCCGCCTCTCAAGGTGGCTTGTCCAATGAGAAAGGCTTGAAATCCCAAGCGGGCGGTTGCAACTGCTGGAGGGTTTTATGACCCTTTGTCTCTAAGCATGGTATTTCGCATATGTAATTCGCTTGGGTGTCGACGAAAGATTACTAAAAGTTCTTAGAACCGTAATATGTTGCATAGGTATAAACATACAGTATACACTCTCAATTAGATCATCCGAATATGAATTAATAGAGACCAAACACGGTATGTGTAAGGTTACATGAATGAGTGGTTCTATCATAAGCATGAATAAAATAGTCTACAATACAACAGATAATATACAAGACAGCAATAATATACACCATGACCTGAAGGATATGTGTGTTCATTCAAAGAAAGGTTTTCCTATGAATTAGTTAGTAGAAAAGTCCACTTCTACTGTGCCTTGTGCCTCTTGCGATGGAACATGCAGTGATTTTCCCTGCTTCGCATTCCATTAGGTCGTAAATGTATCTGGTGTCAGGGTTGCCATGGTAACCAGGGTCCTGGGCCCTGTTCACAGACAACTTGGCACCCAGTATGTTTATTGGGTGAGGGGTCTGTGAACGTTTGTTAATCTAATGAATAATTGATTTGTTAAATCAAATGAAAAATGGTGTGTCTGATTGGTCCAGACACTACATATAATAACTCATTACCGATCTGCCCCCTGTGGACTGGAGCTAGCATCTCTCTCACCATCATCTCCTGACCTCTAAAGTAAAAGAACAAATGAGAAACATCCATCGGGAAAGCATCCTCACCTCCCATACTCTCAAGTAAGCCAGTAAGTTTTCTAAGATTTGTCAGCCAGTAACTTTTGTAAGGGTTTGAAACCCAGGGAGTATAACTTTACCCATAGGCTCTTAAGAAAAGGTGTCAGTTTTGAAGGAATATTCTGACTGTTTTTTTCTGCCGAGAAGTAAGTTTTATTCCAATTTTGGTGGATGTTTCTTCAGATTTCCAGCGGTCGAAAGGATTTCAGTAAGTGCTTTTGAAGCAGTTGTAAACTACAGCTCCCTTGTGCATGAATCATAACTTTAAAAGACCCCTGTAAACCCAAAATGTAATTTTTTCAGTTGCCTGGGACAAAAATTACAATTAGGTAAAGCATGTCAGAGTAACAAGAATATCTTCTTGAAACACCCACACATTAGGTGGAATAGGAATTTCAATGAGCAAGCATAATCGAATAACTGTACGTTATTGGAATATGATTTATATAAAACTCTACAGGCGAGGAAAGAAAATTCTGTTAATGTTCAGCATTTTTCTCTTTAGGCTGAAAATGAGTGCATGAAAGCTCAGGGCTCTGTTGATACAGCTTACCACCCCACATTGTGTGACCATTATAAGAAATGACACATTTGAAAGTAATGTATTTGCAGTCTGATAGGAAAAAAGCAAAGCAAGAGACTATTCAGATTTAAATCAAACTTAAATAACATAGATGTTTTATATCCCTGTCACATTTGGGCACTGAAAACAGCGTTTCTTTTTTAATCAGGGGTTGGAATGGGGCGTGTTTGTGAGATTCATTTGCATATGCAAATGGCACCAAAGAGAGGTGCTGGAAAAGGTGAAGGACCTATAAGGGCTGAGAGCACAGCTGTCAGTCAATGACTTTCTAATCTCTCTGAGGGGAGAAATGCAGAGTGAGTATAATATAATAATTTTCAGCCAAAAAATGCAATCTAACACTATTTTCGAAAGGAAAAAAAAAAAGCTGGTTGAAATATAAACTACAGATTTTGCATAACAGAAATAGATAAAACCACCAAACACACTAAATGATCTATCAGCACTGGGAAAGAATAAATATAAATCTATTCTATTATATATTAATTTATTTTTTCCATCTCTATTTTCTATCTCAATTAAAGTGACAGCAACACACTAAACCTAAAGTGCTAGCTTCCCCAAAAAAGAAAATTCTGTCATGAATTTCTGTAATTCATATTTATAATGAAACTTGAGAGATTTCTGTCCCTCCATTGAAAGTCCATTATACCAAAACTTGCATGAAGGTTGTAAAACAAATCCATATGAACTGATGGGTTTAATTCAAATCTTCTGAAGAGATGTGATAACTTTATATGATGAACATATTTAATTTAGGCTTTAATTCACATATAAACATTGATCGACACACATGCATAGAATACATCAAATATGGTCAACAGAAGCTGAGTTGTACTTGCCTGACGAACAAAAAACACCCCGTTGGTTTTTGTGTGTAAAGCATGTTTGTGTGTTAATCAATGTTTACATGTGAATAAAAGTCTAAATTAAATATGTTCATCACATAATGCGTTGCTTACAAAGATGAACAAAAATCCTGTGGGTTTGGAACAACATGAGAGTGAGTAATTGATGACAGAATTTTCATTTGTGGGTGAACTGTCCCTTTAAAGCAGATAAATTGACACTAAATACAACTAATGAAACACCCTAATTTATATAACAAAGTCAAAGGTGTAGCAGCATTTCAGCATGACTCAAATGAATCACATGAATACAAATGGCAAAACAATGCAATAAAAAGTAACTACAAAGCTACTGGTAGCTAAAAGTAGTGATAAAGCAAAGGTAGTTTGTTATGGAAAGTTGCATGTTTGAAATCATTTGAAGTACTCCAGCGCTTCTGAGAAATGTAGTCAAGTAGCTTCCCAACACTTCATAATATGGTGTAGTACTCTGAAAAAAAACATGCTGTCAGTAACAGAGGGCCTGTATATGAAACGAGCAGAAGAGTTTAGAAGAATAGTCATTAGGCAGAGATGCTTACTGTATTTTTGAGGGCTAAAGGCCAAAGGGCTATATGGTGCAGGTCACTGTATATGTGCATGTGTTTGGATCTTTGTTGGCCAAAACTTTACAAAGAGAACAGAATTGTGAGCAAGTGAGAAAAAACTTTTTGGTTAGCAGTGTTTTTGCCTTAAGCTTCGATCATAAACTTTGAACTAGGTAATTCAAGTAACCAGCAGCCTTTGATACCAACAGTCTTTAAATCCAGAATTCCCCTTTGTTAATAAAAGCGTTGATAGAATGGACAGATTGAACAGATACTGACCTTTTCCCGAAGTTGGCTTCCTTCCTGCGACAGTGCAGAGTGACCACTCTGTGTCCCTCGCTCCTGACGTCTTGACTAACTGTCCACTGAACCGGGTTGCTGGCCCTCGCTCCCAGAAATGCCACACCATCCTTCAACTTGACCCTGTTGCAAAAATCAAAATGACCACACAGTATATAATGTTTATTTTTTTAATTAAGTAAAGAAATGATACTGAAAGATAATCATAATACTTTTATTTAAAAAATATTGAACACATATTTGCGTTTGCATTTTCCAAGACACTCATGGATACTGGATGATTAACAAAAAGTGTTTCTTGTTCTTGAACAGATTGCAGTTGTTTGCCTCATGCATTATACAGAGAAGGAGAGACTACCCAACAGCTCATGTAATACATTGTAGGGTACGGATGTGCTTGTATAACCTCAAAATGATTTGAAGAATTATTTTGACATCATTGTGTTCTGCTTTCTTCACATATAATCATAACAGTGCATTACAAAAGATCTCTGTATGGAATATTTTTTAAAGTCTATTAAATTAATTAACACTGACACATGAATAACTACTTTAAAGGGATAGTTCACTCAAAAAAAAATTCTGTCATCATTTATTCACTCTCATGGAACAGAAGGTGAAATTTTGAATAATTTGTTTGTCACCTGCAATTATGATGAATGGGGATTGGAAGTATCAAAAGTATCATATATACGTAAGTATCATAATGGCAGTCCATACAAATTGTGAGCTATTCAAAATCTTCTGAAGTAATTTGATAGCTTTGTTTGACTACAGATCGAAATGTAATGTGATATTCACTGATAGTCTTCACCTCCAATGAACTGTTTACCACTGCCATGGGACTGAGTTGGATTACAGAACCAGAACAGTCTAAATCATGAATGAATCATTGTGAACCAAATCAACCAAATTACTGAAAAGTTCCAACTTCAGCATTCTATTTATAAATCAGACACTGCAAAATGTTAACTTTTGTAAACATTTTTTGTTCTTCATTTTATACAAACCTATTATATGAATTCAGAAGACAAGGTGTATGGACCACTTTTATGATACTTATATGGTGCTGTTTTGTCATTTTGAAGAAACCCTAGTCATCATTTATTATACTTAAGAGACTGGTCAGGATATTCTTTAAAATATCTTTTTTCGTATTCCATGAAAGAACAAAAAATGGTCATACAAGTTTGAAACGACATGAGAGATCAAATAAAATAAAAAATTTGGGTGAACAACCCCTATTGTTTACAGTGGTAATGAAATGGCACAATGTATCCTTGTGCAGGTCCCACACTGTTCTAAACATCCAATACCTGCATTCAGCCAATCAAAGACAGGATGCTGAAGACGGGCTGCAGTGCAGTTCAAATGCAGAAAATAATGGAATTGATGTTATCGCTAAGACCCAGACCAAATGCAATTAGAAACCGTCCTGACAATAGCTTTTTTTCTCTTTTCATATCTTGTTTTGCTTTGTTGTTTTTTTTCCTTCCCTTTTTTCTTCACATTTGTATCTAGAATAAACTAACTAATGGCACATAAAGCCAAAGTGCTGCAATAATATACTAACCCATACACAATTCAGGACCGCATACCATGTGCTACAAAAGCTCCACTGGTGGCAACTAAATTGGCTGCATAGAAAAATGCTAAGAATGCACTTGGAGGATAGTTTGAATAAACAACATGAGAGAAAAAAAAAAACTCAAATCCCCTCAGGAAAAAAACAAAATCTAAAAAGAAAAAATTAAACCACTGACTTTCTTGCTTTCCTTATTCCTTTTAAAGCACACTTTAAAGTCAGCTTGCAGTCATGTTGTTCTTTTTATAAATGTGACTCGTTTTTTTTTTTTTTTTTACCAATTAAGAATATCCAATAAGCACATATTTAAAAACAAACAAAAAAAACTTTCAAAAAAATTATTTAATGTTTTTAGCTTGATATTTAAAGGTCACCCTGTGCCTCAACTGACAGTGACTACTTTTAGAAATATACACCACTTTTGAAACATTTAGTCTGTTTGTACTGTAGTGTTGAATACTGCACATAACTGAATGCTACCTTGAACACATTACGTACTAGTGCGAGAGTCTGAAGCACATGTACCTTCAATATTCTCAGTAGCTTTTCATATATTCCAGCTGCTAACATATCATTTGAAACAGAAAATTTGTAAATGGCCTGGTGACCCTGGATCATTCAGGTTGCTTATACTGTGAAACGGTTTTATCACTGTGGGTTTATTCTGAACATCATGTGGCGTTTGGGTCATATCTACTTGCTCACAGCTGCTATACATTCTTAAATACAGAAACACACATATGCATTTATAAAAGCAATGTTATTAATGCGCTTTTTTTTTCAAATTCAAAAGAGATATGTCTTGGGTCGAAGGAAAAAACACTGCTTCTATGAAAAGACTTGCTTCACTTTGGTTGGAATTCATTAAAATTCACTATGAATTGCACATTACTGCTGAAACAGCCAATCAGATTTTTGATAGAAGTCCTGCCTTACAAATAAGAGAGCCATTTAAATAGATGTTTCAGCAGATTTTCTACTCTTCAATGCACATTAACTGAACTAGCTTAAAAAAAACTTTTTTGCATGATTTGAGCAAAAGCAGCATACTTTATGATGCCACTTGTTTTTTTTTTCGTTTTTTTTCATTTTTTTGACATTTGAATAGTTTCCACAAAAACATTAAGCAGCACAACTGTTTTTAATATTGATAATAAGTTAAGTTTCTTGAGCACCAAATCAGCATATTAGAATGATTTCTGAAGTATAATCTGACACTGAAGACTGAAGTAATGGCTGCTGAAAATTCAGCTTTATAATAAATAAATTACATTTTAAAACATATTAAAATAGAAAACAGATATTTTAAATTGTAATAATATTCCACAATATTACTGTTTTTACCATACTTTTAATCATATGAATGCAGCCTTGGTGAGCCTTTCTCCGTTCAAGCAGACAGAAGTTGTTCTATCATAACCGGAAATGGACTAATTTGGAATTTTAGAAAAATGTCCCCTTCCCTTCAAGAGTTTAAAAATGGCAATTGGAATTCGCCCAATGGCTTAATGTACATACTTAAGCAGCAGTAAACCAGTGCAGACTGTGTCTGGTTAAACTGGACTGCGGGTGGTTAATGAATAAGACGCAGGTGTTTGCTCTGAAATTTTTATGCAGAAAAGGCTGTTTAGTCAATTCGCCCCTTTGTGTCCTATCTGATCTGTTCATGTAATACTTGCCATTTATATAATGAAGAAGATTTTGTTCTCATTTGAACCGTTTTCTGATTGATCAAAATAAATATCCAATATACTGAACACAGAGACACAAACCTCTATAATAGTTCATCTGAAAATCTACAAAAAGTGCAGCTGTAAGCAGCATGAGAAGGCGTTGAGGGTTAATTAGGGAATGGAAGATTTAAATGAGATTGGTTTGGCTAATATGATTTCTGGAGAGCAATAAAGGCTGCAAAGCAATTTAAAGAGAGATGTTCTTTCCCCTCACACCAGCACATGGGTGCCAGCTCATTAATTCTAAAACAACCTGAGTATCAATTAAAGTAGTATTTACCAATGTGATAGAAGTGTCAGCGCTCGCGAGATGACTGGAGAGGCAGGAAGCGAAGGATGGAGGGAGATGGATTGTAATATCAGATAGAGGAGATCTGTCGAAATTCTGACAGTCCGTCAACCCTGTGGCAGTTCTCCAAAATAAGTAAATTCCCCTGATTCTCTGACATTATAAAAGTGACGGATGCACACGCTCGGATGATTCCGGTATTCATCACAAATCACATTCTGTGACAGTTGTTGGAGCGAGCGCCGTGTTTTTCTCCTACGTACAGGCTGCATACAACTGGCCTGAACTCCCCTTGCTGATGTAAGTGATCTATATTGACCCAGCTGAATTACATCAAAGAATTGTTAAAGCGTAATCGTTTTATCCTCTGTGTTGTCCACTGAGAACAGTGAAGGAATATCTGATAGTGGAGAGAAAGAGAGAGGCCAGTATGTAAGGGATAAATGTACAGTCAGTGTCTCATTATCACTAAATACATTTATTTGAATTGAAATTATTTTCATGCTAGAAGACCACAGAGTGCAACAAGAGCTGAAACTATCACAGTGTAATTTAGTGGTCTATACACAACTATACAACAGTTAATTCCAGTCCTCAACAGTCAGTGCATTACAAGTTGGCATTTTACAGTGACGCTTTCTGCATTGTTATGCCAGTAGGTGGCGACAAGTGACTATCATTATGAGTCATTTGAATTATTCAACTGATTCAAAATACTATAAACGAACAACTTTGAGTGAGTCATTTAAATCATTTAACTAATTTGTTCACAAATACTAATTCATTCAGTAATGAATTACTGCAAGTGACCAACTTTATGAGCGAGTCATTGAATCATTCATTCAACCGATATGTTCAAAAACACAGATTCATTCAGGAACTAAACAAGTTATGCCTTCATGAACAAGTCACTGAATAATTCACTCAAATCATTTGATCAAAAACAATGAATAATTCAGCACATGAAACACAACAACTGAGTGTTGCTCAAAGATCCACAATGGCCTTGATGTAACCTAAATGTAAGAGTAAAACCAGACAATGGAACAAACAAGACTGTGTGTAAATGCAAATTACTCAATATTAACTTTCTTTTTATTGAACTTTTGTATAAACACAATATATAAAACAATCATGCTGCCTCCTAACTCAAATCATTAATAAGGAAACTGTTCCACACACAAAAGTATTTTGTTTTTCCTGACTTACATTCCTGTCAGCTGAAGTGTTGTATATACTTGATTCTGATTGATACATTATGGAACTCTCTTCCCCCCAACATACGGAACACCTTCATACTTTTAAATCTCATCTTAAGACTTATCTTTTTACCCAGGCTTTCTTATGACTTGCTCTTATTAATTGCTCTTATTATTGCTCTTGTAAGCCTTTATTGTATTCATGATGTATGCAGTTGTGCTGTTGAATTTTGTAATGCTGGCAGGACTTGTTTATTTATTGTTACTGTTTTTACTAGTTTGCTTGCTGTAAGGTGACCTTGGGTGTTTAGAAAGGC